CAGGGAGGAGCGCGGGCGCCCCGTGATTGGGGCGGGGCGGGGCAGGTGCTGCAGGGTTCGCCCCACCCCTTTGCGCGCTCTCCGACCCGCCCCCGCCCCCCAGTCACGGCTCTTCCTTGCGCGCTGCAGTTGCGGGGTGTGCGGTAGTCACCGTACGATGTACGAAGGTGGCCAAAATGAGGGACACGTTTTGAGGCCGCTCCTTGATGCACCACGTGCCAGACCCGGGTCTCCCATTTCTGGACCCTTTTTTAAGGAAAAAAACGACTGACATGTTCTGTATTCAAAGTCAAATTTGCCAAAACAAATGCCAAGTCCACAGGGCAGCCCAGAGCCGGGGCACGGCGAGCTCGCCCAGGCGGCCGTGCTGTGTTGGCGGCGGGCCGGCGGAGCTGCCCCAAGCCGGGTGCAGGGCCCGAGGCAAATCAGCCCATGCGGCCACCCCCAACTCCGGTCCCCAGGCCTGGACCCGAAGAAGAAGCCACCACCACCAGCAGCAGCGGTGGGAGGGAGGCGCAGCGAGCGGCTGGATGTGGAGCCACTGCTGCAACCCGCTCGGTGGGGCCCTGCAAAGCACGGGCCAGGGCAGTCACCCCGGTTCGCGCCCCCAGGGACAGGCCTGGCGCATGGTGACCCCACACACGCTGTCGGTGGCATTGGTGGTGGCCAGCAGCAATCAGAGACCACCCGCAGCCGCCACCGCAGTGGCAGCAGCAAGGGGAGTGGGGGTGGCAAACGCCTCCAATTCTCCCCAAGATTTCCAGCAAAGGATAATACTGGTAGAGATTTGAAATGCTCCAGTTTTTCTTTGAATGAACACTGTAACCTGCTTAATGAGGATGCCGGTGACTTGACCAAGAGACGGGTCGCTTGTGACACCGTACAGTGTTTGGTGTATGCTATTGGCCCCAGGGATGGGGACTCACTCAGACCAGCGCAACATTAGGGTCCTGTCCTTGAGTCACCATTCAGCAGAGACCGGTGGAGTGGTAGATGGCTTTATCTTGATTAGGAACAGGATTCATCAACTCACAGGCTCACACCTTGCAGGGAGAACTACAACTCCCCACCACCACAAACTGCACCCGCAGGGCATCACGGGGAGAGACTGGGTGGTCCCACTATTGGCCCCTTGAAGGTACATATCATATACCACAAACAATGCTCGTATCCAAAGGGGTGTGATGGTGAAGCCTAAAGAACTTGCCCAGCAGAGACGGGGAGGCCTGCCCAGGGACAGAGGAGTGCACATGCCTTCTCATCTGTCCCGGCCTCCCCTGGCACACTACTTCTATGCAAATCCCAATTCACTCCTGCTCAAGGACCTGCCCTGGGGTGCTTGGGACCACGGCCCCAGGAGCTGACCTTTCCTCCTCCGCTCTGGGCTCCACTCCTGCAGCACCATGACAGCCCTGGTCAGGGCCCTGCTCATCCTGGCCCTGCTCCCCCACAGGTGCTTGGGGCAGGGCTGGGGCTGGCAGCAAGGGTAGAGTCAGGGCCCGTGGTGCCCAGTGCCAGGTGCTTGGGGCGGGTGAGGGGGGCTCCTGGAGGCTGTGGGGAGAGACCCGCATCCCACGGACAACCCCCTGCTCCCCACAAGCAGTCGAACCCCAGCCCTGACCCTCCAGCCTCAGCTCAGGCCACACCAGCCCTTCTGGGCCACCTCTAGCCCCAGCTCCTTCTCCCACGGCCCAGCCCCTGCAGCTTCCCTTACAACTGCTGTCATCTTCTGGCCCCACCGAGGCTGGGGCTGGCAGGGGGTGTCCAGGGCTTTGGGCCCCCACCACCCCTGCAGACCAGCACCATACAGTCCTGGGGTGGGGGCGGAAGCTGCTCTTGCTTCTCACCCCCCTGCCAGGTGAGTCCACATCTCACTGCCCTGAAATATCCCAAAGTGTTGAGATCCCAGAGACCTTGGCACATGCTGAGCCTGACCGGGGCATCCTCAGGGAGCTCCAACATCTTCCCATGTGCCCAGGCAGGGACTGGTACGATGCTTATTCTTACCCTTGCTTTGTTATAGAAGCCTGGTCTCGGATCTGGAGGGGGAGTTCAGATGCCCGGCGGTGGGTTGGGGTTTGGGGCTGTACTGCAGCAGTTCTTCACGTGGTATCCAGGTGGCTCTTTCAAACGTGCGATCTACCTCTCTGCAGGAGTGTCCTTGCCGGGTGAAAGCCTTTTTAAGATTGGTGAGGTGGCAATCCCGTGTGTTCTCTTCGGTACAAATGCGGTGGTATCTGAGGGCTTGGCTGTATATCACAGCTTTTTTGGTGTGTTTAAGGTGATTTGTGGTTCTGTGCAGACATGAATGTTGGTCTGTGGGTTTCTTGTATACTGTGGTCTGTATTTTCCCCTTCTGGATACTGATCATTGTGTCTAAAAAGGAGATGTTGGTGCTGGAGTATTCTAAAGAAAGTCGGATGGAGGGATGGTGACTGTTGAATTTCTGATGGAACTCAATCAGAGATTGCAGGTTTTCAGTCCAAATGATGAAGATGTCATTGATGTATCTTAAGTATAGCAAGGGTTTGATGGTGCAGTTCTTGAGGAAGTCTTCTTCCAGGTGGCTTATAAAAAGGTTGGCATACTGTGGGGCCATTTTAGTGCCCATAGCTGTTCCCATCATCTGGAGGAAGTGTTGATTATTAAAAGTGAAATTGTTGTGTGTGAGGATGAAGTGTATAAGCTCAGTGATATCTTTGGGTCTGTATTCTGGGTTGTAATCTTGTTCCTGTAGATATGTAAGGCAGGC